GAGTACTGAGCCCACCTTCATGATAAGCCTTCTCATCAGAGGAAAGCAGGTGACTACGAGCCATGTTGACAGTCAGGTTTAGAAATGCATTTGCTACACATGCTTACCTTTATAAGTATCTTCAAACACGAAATTTCCTATCCTCCGTGATAATTGTTCACTTTCACAGGGTGACTTTATAATTATGAAACGGTGCAAAAACCGATGAACTGTTCCAAAAAAGTTCAGAAAAATGCAGCTGCGGCTAAAAAACGGATACCTAGGTTATTCGTGCTGGGGAATCCGTTCATGATGCTAGAAAAAATCTTTAATGACTGCTTTTTTGAAAGTGCAAAATTTGAGGGTGACCTTGTAATTATGAAACGCACTGTAGAGCCGATTATGGCGGGAACGAACCCTCTTTTCCCACCGATCGCTAACTGTTAAACAGAAAATCGTAAAACGAGTTTTTTTCGATGAGCTACACCATTGTACGGAATTTGAGCACGAACACTTCTTAAAAATATTAATTTTTATATTATATTTATATTTTTATGTGTGATTTCGTTTTTTCAGGACATCTGGCGGGTTCGTGCACGTGCTGTGAACGGGACACGGTCGAATCTTTAGAGATCTTTGACTATTTATTATTGTTCCCTTTGCTGGTGACGCATTAGACGTAGAAAACCGCTCTGCTTATGTAATTCTCTCATTCTTCACTTATTTATCAATTATTACTCTGAGTGTAACGTATAAATCTCAAAAAAGTATAAACGTATGGTGAACGTCCGTCCTGACACGGCTGGCTAGCCATCGCACATTGATCATTGGCTTTCTGACAATTACGTGTTTCTCACCGTACACCATCATATTTGTCTGTTTATAACTCTGCAAAGCAAGTATGTGAAACTACGCTCAGTGAACAAGTAATAATTTCAGCGATGCTGAAGGCACAGAACACGATAGCTCTGAGGAATTTACTATAAATTTAGAGTTTACAATGAAAATAGTTTTCGAAACATACCAATAGGATGAATTCGTGGTCCACCGCCTACAACATGGGGCGCCTTCAGATCGGGAAGCGATATTGATAGGCCTGATATTATTCCTCCCATGCCGTTTTCGTCCTGGCAATCTCGTACGATTACTATTTTCATTACTTTCGGATGGTCTTTCTCATCACAAAATCAGCGGATTTTCGTGTTTTTTTCGCCATCGATGCTCTATTCTCCACTGATACTTCCACTTTTTAACTTGAAAGTGTTTCACAAAAACACCGTGAACTGGGCATTGATAAGTGAAGTAATAGAAGTTACAAAATAGAACGGCAAAACAGTATAAAGGTGGAAAAACGCTAAATCTTCAAAGTCTGTGTTGTCATCTCAAAAAAGTAGTAATGAAGGGGGTTGTACGAGGTTATGATGGCAGGAGCGGCAAGAAAGGAGTGTTTGGACGAGATGCTATTTACCGCAGTAACGTAGAAAACTGGCTGCAAAGGCCAAAAATGGTGAAAATTGCTGTCCACCAGTCTCATTCATAGTCCTGCTTCCCTAAAACAAAAAAATAATCGTACGATTGCAGTTTCTGTATCGCTATCAACCAACGTCTGTGTGTGCCCCACAAAATTTGGTTCGAGAAGCGTCCTTACAATAATCCATCCGTTGATTTTGGCAGTCGCGATGGTATAAAGTTGGTGGCCACCGTCTGCACTGTACCACGGACTGTACTTCATCAAAACTATGCGTTCGAGAAAAGCCAATCAGCCAATTTCTGATCTTTCCTTGCGAGCTTTGCACTACTCCGCATCATAGCTTTCGTTATTTCCCTAAAACTAATTATCTCAAAATGATCGCGAAATGTGCCTTTTGACTCGACTGCAGATCCATGTACCGCTCTGTGTTATGGGTAGGTCCTGTAGCCGAAATCCTACGAAGTTTTACTGCTGTTTCTTCTTCTGACGTGCTGCTTTGGAAAAAAACTATTTCTTTGTCCAAAAATATTTCCTTGTTTTTTCTAAGTAATGAACAGCTGACGGATGAATGAGAAAAGTAGAGCACACAAATTCATAGAAGTAAAAGAATTACGTTCCTCAGTAGTTCCGCAAAATTACCACAGGATCTAACCAGGGAGGGGTAGTCTACTTATCTTGGAGCTTTAAATTCAGACCCAGATAAATCGATAGAGTTTTGAATGCTGTTTACGAAAATGGAAATTAAAACTGCAAAATGTTTCTCCTTAAAAAGTTATGGGGCCCGAATTTTGCTCGACAGTAGTATCAATTGTCTAAAGAAATGTCAGAAAACGTTTAGAGAGCCTTTGATAAAATGAAAAAACACTTTGCAAAAGTACGGAAAATGGCGGGGAGGGACCCCTCATTTTACGCCCACGAAGCGAGACCACTACCACTAGGTCACGTTGGCATTTGACGAGTTCGCATTTCAAACTGATACTACTGTCGAGCAAAATTCGGACCCCCATAACTTTTTGAGGAGAATCATTTTGCAGTTTTAATTTCCACTTTCGTAAACAGCATTCAAAACTCTATCGATTTATCTGGGTCTGAATTCAAAGTTCCAAGATAAATAGGCTACCCCTCCCTGGTAAATATCTAAATGCATTTGGCTCCTTTCTTCACAAAAACAACAGAGCATGCTGAAATCCTTCAAAATTTGTATGCCTTTGCGAAACATTTTCGCAAATACCCAAAGTATTAGGTTGATGCATAATTATTACGGATTTTTTCGCGGCCTTTTTTCTCTCGATAAAATTTGAATATTGAGTTCGGGTTTTTTATAGAAATGATCTGCTTGATTTTCTCTACAAAAATGTGAGTAGAAAACCATCCGCATATTCGCAAATTTGGCTCTGCCACTTCGAGAAAACTTGGAAGGTGACAGAGTCATTCCGCGATCTCAGTAACTTTGCAGTGATGGAAAATCAGCCAAAGCCAACCAAGAAATGGGATCTGCTTCTGAATCTGCCATATTCACCAGCAATAACTTCCATAGATTATCTCGTCAACCGTTCGCTGAAAAAATGGCTAGGGAATAGAACTGACGTCGGTTTGAATGACATGATGGCCGATGCCATGGCGTGGATCGCCCCCAAGGATCAAAACTTCTTCGCCTCTGGAATCCGACTAACTAGCCAATGGGAAGCACTGCTTGACGTAGATGGTGGATAACTTTCGGAGTAATTATTTCAACATGTTTCTGTTCGGTATTTTTATCGTTTCGTTAAATAAAATTTGTTAAAAAAAATCCACAATAATTATGCATCAACCTAATATGTAGATTACTTTTGTGAATTTTCATCGCCCCTTTCGAAGGGGTATAGATGTTGGATGAAGTTTTATTGCCACTGATAACAGATGCAACGTACGTTGCGCTTCGGTCACCATCTGCTTCCCCGAACACATGCAGTACTTACTTATTTTGATTACAGGTGATTGAAAGGCTTGTACTATTCATTGCCAGCTTTCTTTCGTTTGAAGTGACGTCAAGTTTTTTAGCGTTCGCTGTCGTAGCACAAGATCAGTTTGGATGTCGAACCAAACAATTCCAATATTGTCAAACGATGCTTTCCGAGGGTGTTGGATTGAATAGTACGATGTCGTCAATGATGTTCAAAGTATTCTTTATTTTGTTTCTTATTTTCCAAAGTCAATGTCACAATAAGTTACGGTAAGAAATATATCTGTGCGACCATGTAATGCCCTTTTGAATGCTATCGATGAATAAGCTTCATGAAAAGTAACAGGATAGATAGCAGTGATATCAAAGAAATCTAAGCTTGCTACATTTAAACTTCACTTGTAGGACTACACAGTGCTGTATAACTGGTTCCTATACAAGTGGGGCCTCACACCTGGAAATACAACCAACATATTGAACGTGTGCAAGTTTGTTTTTAGCCATTCCTTTCATAAAATGAAGTTTATATGCAATACCAATTGAACTTGCAGCCAGTTGGAATTCTTCAATGGATGTATGGGCAACGATCGAGGATGCTTTCAAATTCAGAATCTCCTACTGGGAACTGATTTGAACAACGTGAGACGTATTATTAATCTTTGAAGAATGTTGTAAAAATAGCAGTCGCAAAAAGGCGGATCAGAGGAGTACTGACTATACGCCGACGAGTTATTTTTTGAAATTTTTCAAGGGGTTGCTACGAACAGCTCTTTGCCCCTTTATTGATTTTGTGCACTTTCCTCTTATGTAGGCTTAGGGGCGGTTTAATGGGGGATGGCGCATTGCAAGTCTAAAGCGGTCCTTGCCGAGCCATGCCGATTATTCCTATTCAGTTAGGTTCTCACATAGTCCAGAGTACGATAACCCAACGATGCAAAGTCTCTTATACGCCGTGCATTCCCGTTAAATTAGAGAGAAATAAGGATCTATAGTTTCTCTGCGAACCTAATGCCTTCGGGCAGCGCATAGTTTTACTCCAAGCACGTCAAATAACCGAGGCCTCACTCTGCAAAGAGTTCCTTGTAGATGCGTTGTTACCAACCGGTGAGTGGACTAGTGAAGCTGTGAATACCAATGCCCGCACATAAGCAGGATGGGTGAAGAATTCTTCGATAGCAAGCTATTCTCAAGAAAACCATTCCTAAACGTAGTTTCTTATTTCTCAAAAAAAAAACAGGCTTTTTCATCATATGTTCCAGGCTTTCTTCATTGACGGAACACTGGCCATGTACCAGTTCAACTGTGGTCCTGGCCTTAATGGTACGTTACAATTAACGAAGAGGCACTCCAAGGCATTCATTGTAAATATTAAAAAAATGGAAAGGGATCACTCCTATCTTCCGAAAGGCTTTTTCCCTATTCCGACAGTAGAGAAACCACCTTACCCTCTCATCGCTCAAAGATCTTTCAACGCAGTCTTGATTTGTAATGAATGGCGTCCTTTGCGACTCAGCAAATCTCTCTTGAGTGTTCTCTTGCTAGCAGCATTATTACATTATATGCCTGTAATTTGTGCTCTAATATAAGCCCTCCGAACTAAAACAACCAGGTAAGCGGATTCCTAAGGCACAGTTCACGATTAAAATAGTCATGAGATATCCCCCTAAGATAAATCTGTAGCCCCCTATTCTTCCATATGTGGCGTATGTCCTCCTGTCAGGTTGGAAAAGCTCCAAGATTGTCCTTTGTGTGTGCGCGGACGATTTCCAACGGCATTGTAGAGGCTGCACTATTCACAAGGAAGCCCATGTCATTTCCAGCATGGTAAACTCGTAGAACCTCTAATTTCACGACTTTTGGCCAGCCTTATTTTCCCCGAATTTGGCGAATTTTCTCGCTTCCTTCGTTACCGTTGGACTATTCCCAACCTATATTTCCCCTTTTTGAATACGAACAAATACCTCAGAATTATCTTGAACTGTGCCTTTGAATCAGGCCTAAATGAAGCTATAAACTGGTCGTCCCAGGAAGTTTATTATTTTTAGAATTTTACATTCGATACCATATACATATCTATGTGCCTCTTGGAGGGAATACTGCTTGAAGCGATTTTTCCTCTTAAGATGCTATTGTCTCACTGATGCAGACGTTTTTGGCGTACTTCCACTACTCCATGCACATTTTTGTTTAGCGACGGTGACACTTAAAATGTATATCTTGTTCAAACACCCCTTAAACGCCATTTTTTGGTCTTATTGTGGTCCAGCTGGCTTTTCAAAGCCGTTTTGAAGCCTCTTATATCTTTGGAAACACCGGTTCCTCGGTTTCTTCGCCTACATAGCACTACTCTTTACCATCTCTTTCATTTTTCGTTATTATCTGGATAACCCAAAATTATCGTGAACTGTGCCTTCAACTAGTAAGCCCAGTGTCTCAACTTTTGCATGAAACAAATAAACCCTATGAACGAGTCATCAGACGAAAATTCGCGACTTCTCACCAAAAGCATTTTTGGTGATTGATTTGATGAACCGTGTAGCTACTGATGCTGACTAACATGGTAATGTAGGACTTATTATTTGATCACCGCTATTATGCTTATCAGACCCTTCCTGAATGATGATAAACATTTCAGGCAACTGGTAGGGTTTAGTACCTAGTAGCAACAGTTCTAACTTGACTAATGCAGTTGACATCATTCACAGCTTTAAAGGCACAGTTCACGATAACTCCCTGTTGCTGGCTCGAGAGGCTTTTCGGCCCCTCGATCGATGTCACGTTAGACGAGTGTCAAGACTATACAGATAGCAAATTCTCGCTCTAGGACCCATTCACAACCAGCTGATTGCCGAGTAATGAGGCGATGATCTATTCCTCTTCTTTTGTTCTCTATTATTCTTTTTGTTGTTGCGATCCCTAAGTTAGGTTCCTACCCCAAAAGACTAAAAAAGATGGGCTATTTTGCTGTTACTGAGGGTTTTTGCTAACTTTGCTTATGATTGAATGGATTCTTGCCTACCGTAGTCAGCGATTCGCACCAGGACCCACACGTACGCGCTGCACACATTGTATAGCTCGTCCAGAAGCCCCATTCTTCCTCATTTTTCTGGTCTCACTCTCGCCCAGCCCAACCCCTTTTCAGCGGTCTTTCGAAGCCTCTTGCACTTAAGAAACACCGATTTGCGCAGTTTCTTCGCTTTCATCGCACTATTTTCCATCTTATCTTCCATTTTTGGGTGGAGGTGGTGTAGTGGCAAGTGGCGCACCATATCACACGCACGGTCAGGGGTTCGAGTCCCGGATCGATGCCCGCCTAGGCCAACCAAGCCTTCCATCCCTCCGGGGTCGGTGAATTGGTACCAGANTAGGCCACATACGCACTCATTACGCCACTACGATTCTGAATGGAAGTCGAGTGCGGGGGCGCATCCCTCAGACGGGATTGATTAACGCCAAAAACTTTATCCTTTATCCTTTATCTTCCATTTTTCGTCATAATCTGGATCACCTAAAATTATCGTGATGTGTGCCTTTGACGTGGTACCAACGGGTTTTCAAGTGAAATGAACGCCATGCTTCTTGAGGCGCATTTGATACTGTTCCGTTTAGTTCTACTTCATGAAGGACTTGCGTGCGCTCAACTAGTTATCGATGGATTCCAGAACTACCTACAGCAGTGTGTCTCCACCTATATGTCGTCAATCACTTATGACTTCAACTCCGGCTGCAAGTAATCACCACTAATCTCTACTAATTTTGAAAGAGGCCTACTGCCAGATTTGATGCAAAGTTGCATATTACGCACAAGCTTCAAGTGAGAGGGGCTGTATACACTTCTTCGCGCCAATTGAAATGTTAGGAGGCATAGAATCATGCCTAAGGTTAGAAATGAGGGTGAATGCTTTCTTGCAGCAACTTGTGATGATAATCGGGAATATTGAGCGACCGCCTCATATATCGAGTATAAACTATTGATTATACTGAATATACATTTTGAATGAGCGCCTTTCGAATCTCTCGCCTTTAATGTTCAGTCGAGGGCGTCCACATTCGCATTGTTTAGGCCTAAGAATTACAAAATGTAGCTGCGTGTAATTAGTTACGACATAATAAACAATCATGACAGCGGCACTACGGAACACACATTGAATTGTGTACGCACTTTCTGTTCCTTTCCTCTCCAGTCGTATCAGTACGTACAGATATGGAATGCTCATCGCTGTTCAAGACCTTTTCTGAAACTTATCGTTATCCAGTTCCTCTTTACGGGATGTACGATTTTATCCTGACAGTACGAGTACATGAGGAGCGCCGTAGTGGCCGCCGAAAATCGCACGAGCCCACAATGCTAATGTTATTCGGATTTTAATGATTGTGATGCATTTTCGACGAATGATGTGATGGGTGATGAGTATTGACGCAGCAAGATCCTTATCAAAGATTTGCTTTTCGAGTGCACGCGTCAGTAGAAGATCGTGGATAAAAAGCGAATTTTGTCACCTCACGGCATCCACGCCTTTTAGGAGGTGGTGGAAGCACCTTTTCGATCTTCTCTTTCGCATTCCTTTTTGGAAACGTTCAAGGGCAAAGAATGAGTGGTTCGAACAACTTCAACAATACTCTCTGCAGTATGGTGCCACGCCATAACTACAAGGGTCACAATAAAGTTGCTTAGACCCAAAGTACTGAACCACAAAACAAATGAATCACTGCTCTTTCTGTTAATAACAGAACAATTAAAGCCTTCCAAATATTATTACTTTTAGGTATGTGAAGAACTTGATGGACTGCTGGTCAGCACCCTTTGTTGGCGGCAGCCAGAATCCGCCACCGGGATGTCGCGGAGCCGGACGGGCAGACGCATGGTGGGCATGCGAGGCGAATCGAGTGTTCACATTGAATCAGTTCCCAAATTGTGGATATTCGTGCGATGGTTAGTTCAAACAGTGACATACGTCCCATTTCCAGCAGCTCACTATAAGCTTGAAAAGAATTTAAGTTTTTTATTCTACTCTTTCGAAGTGAGCTTCTCAACGCTATATCATTATCATCTGAATGTAACAAGTGCCATTTTCTCAAAGTTGATAGCTGCCTATCTTTCACACATTCAGTGCAACAACAATCACAACAACTCGAACGTCACCTCGAAACTCATCACAAGGTTCGGACCAATTAATTATTTTCAAAGGAACTGTTTACAAGTTCATTGAGCTATCTTTTTTATGTTAAATCACGAAAGTGTTGGTGAATAATAATGCGTCGGTGGCGAAAAAGGCAAGAAAGTCTACAGTTTCTGCTCCCTAGTTGTAAGAGCCCTTGAACTCTTTAAATTTGGGGTTATGACGGCGAAAGTGATGTTCTGACGAAATCTCATTCATGCTAGTGTTGTGCTGCGTGAAGAGTTGACTACATCCTTAAGCTCCTACGCCAACAATTGCTTTCAAATATGGTCAGAGGCCAAGTTTGGATCTTTACGGCGCCGACCTAGGCAATTCGGAAACTCGATACGATCCTTCCAGTATCCTCGAGGCCAGAGAATTGTCCCAGGAGTAAAGCTCACAAATAATTTTCATCGTCAACCGTGTGTTCAACGATTATGACCTTTTTTCATTCTCACATTGAAACGTGTGAGGTACTGCAGGAATAAAGGTCAGCGAAGGTACAGAAGTTGTCAGTTAATGTTAGTTGGAGGTTACACAAAAGTAGACGGACTGAGAACAAGAGTCCACCACTCTCTTAAGAAATGTTCAGAGATCGAAACGAAGTTTATAGAAGCTAGCGAAGAAAAAAAGGCCGGATTTTCATGTCATTGGGAAGGCANGAAACTGTTTACAAGTTCATTGAGCTACCTTTTTTATGTTAAATCACGAAAGTGTTGGTGAATGATAATGCGTCGGTGGCGAAAAAGGCAAGAAAGTCTACA